GGGAAGAGCACAATGATAATACCAACATGGGCCAGTGAAGTGATGTCCTCCACAACTAGACTGAAGAACAAAAAACCCCCAGCAATTTGTCTACCTGTCTGTTCCCCTTCCCCGATTCCCCAACGCTGTTACCTTCCCCCCAATTCCCCAACAAAATCTTTAAAAAAACAAAACATTACGGTGTGTCATCATCCATGTTATTCACTGGATCTGGCACCGTGTGACTTCTGGCTCTTCCCCAAAGTCAAAATGACCACGGAAAGTAAACGTTTTGAATTGATTCACGATATCGAGGCAGCCACGACAGTGCAACTAAAAACATTCACGAAAGAGGACTTTGAGAACTGCTTCAGAAAGTGGGAAGAATGATGGGATAAGTGTGTTCCAGGTGAGGGGGAGTATTTTTGAGGGGGATTAATGGCGATGTGTCTTCTATTGTAATAGTTTTTTTGTTTGTTTAAGCATTTACCGTATTGTTTGATCACACCTTGTAGGTTTGTCTGGATGATTCCTTATGAGTGGATTCAGGATATGTATTTTTGGCAGGAATACCACAGAAGTGATGCTCTCTTCTTACTGCATCATATCAAGAGAATACGATGTCTGTTTATACTGTTACTAGTGAAGTTAACTGATTATTTGGTTAGATGATCTCTCAGGTTTTCTAATGTAAAGTTATTAAGTATTTTATAGGGAGATACTTTAAGACTATGTAAATGTCCTATTTCTCATTAAAATTTCACCCACTAGTTATATCACCTATGAATGACTATTTCCTAAACCTATAATGGTTGGGAGATGTTGATTTCCTAATGGAATTTATTCCTTCTACATTTGTGTTGGTGAATTGTATTGTAAAGTATTGCTTTGCCCACATTTGTTTGTCTGTTTGTTTATATTAGTATGGACTCCCAATTCTTATTTTTTCAGTTGTACCTCCTCTCTCTATTTTGAGACCTATTTTGGTCTCAAATTATTGCAGTTTGGCCAGTGCAAGCTGCTTAAAGGTAACTGTGTGCCTTTTGATGTGTATCTGTTACTCTTTGAGTACTTTCTGATACAAAATGTTCTGATATTTGTTTCAGCTCAGATTTCTTTTATCCAAGATATTGGAAGACTTCCTCTGAAGCGACACTTTGGAAGGTAAGCTGATGATTTTAATTTTCTAAGAGCTAGTACAGAAATATCCACAGAATATGTTACCTATTTTTTCAGTATACAGTCAATAAATGTTTTCTGTAAAATCCAAGAAATACACATTGGACCCAGTGATTAAAGACTATATGATAGGGCCGGCCAAGTGGCTCAGTTAGTTAAGAGCTCGCTCAAGAGTTTGAGCTCTG